CGGTGGTCTAGTGGCTAAGGTACTCGGCTGCTGACCCGCAGGTCGCGGGTTCGATTCCCGGCTGCGGCGGCTGCATTTCTGATGGAGGCGGAAATGTTGGAGGCCCGTGTACTCAGATTTGGGTGCACGTTAAAGAACCCCAGGTGGTCAAAATTACCGGAGCCCTCCACTACGGCGTCTCTCATAATCAAATGGTGGTTTTGGGACGTTAAACCCCACAAATCAATCAATTAGCCAGTGGCTCCTGCAGTCAAACACAGTTTTTGCAAGAGAGAATGTTGGGTTAGATGGCTATTGAAGAATGCCAAAAGATCATAGTGCAGGGGTGCAACAGCTGTGCCAATTGCGCCAATTCGATACAATGACCCATTTTTGCACAGAGATGAGCCAAAGCCATAAAACTTGCTGAAATTGCTCCATGTTGCATCAATATGCCCGACCAGCCTCCATGTTTTCTCAATACCACTAAATTCAGCAAGAAATGGAAGGAACATTGGCCATCAACCAATGCAACATCAACCAATGCAATCTAGTTGTGCAGATCCTAACCCTAAACTACGGTGTAAGATATGTACTCTTTAGTCGAGGTGACTCAGTTGATCAGATAAAGTAACAACGCTGCACGACCATCGGTCTGCTGACCGCTGCGGCAGGACGGCGCAACCTCTCGACAAAAATGCTTTGCCGCAGCTGCCAATGCTAAACAGGAAATATGAATATCCTGTGGCTTGTTAGGAACTGAAGCTGCAACGATATGCCACGTTATTGGCAGACGAACAAACTTTACTCGCTGTGAAAGCCGGAGTTGCCACCAACCACATTAGTTGCCATAGCAACGGCACATAAACTTGAAAACTCGAATTGCTGCGCAAGCTGGAAGAAAATGAGAAGGAGACAGGAAAGAGCGCAAACTGTGCTCTTTCCTGTCTTCCTTCTTATTTTTCTTCAGCTTGCGCAGCAAGTTGAGTTGTCAAGTATGAACCGACTAGTCTGCAAAGAAGTATTGCACATAGAACATTTTTTTATTGTAGTTGCGTCGTCCCGTTGATACTTATCCGATGCCATCACTGCACCAACAGACGTGCTGTGGTTACTTTATCTGGTCGAACGCACCTTGCAAGTCAGCCAAGAAGTTGTGGCCTAAATCTAACCTCACTGTGAGAGGAAAAAAAGGGGTTGGGTGGAGAGGGATAGTTGATCCAAAACTTCTTCGCCTTGTTCTATTCCATGTAAAATACTGCTTAAGACACCTTCACAGTAGCACATTGGTGCCATGCAGAGAAGCGTAATAAATTTTAGAAGGAGCGGTCAGCATTAGTCAAGGGGCACAGCATATTTGTTCCTCAGTTATTCATGCATGTACACACCACATCATTTTGAATTCTAGTATGATTGTCTTTGTTTAAAAAAAAAGGTGGCAATGGAGTAGTGTATAAGGTTGCCAATCTTTTCTAGAACAAAAATGGCCGAGATGAGGTTCCAGGTGAATAAATTAGTGTTGAATAATAGACGCCATGTTAGGTTTTTGGTATGCAGTGCAATTCAGTATAACATTACTTTCCTTGGGACAAATAAACATGATATGCAAAGAAAAATGGTATACTGAGCTAACCTGCTAGTCTAAATACTGGCATAAAAATACCCAAGATTAGAATGATGCTTTGTTTATTTCTCTGAAAAGAAAAAAAGAAAACAAGCTTGCCGATGATGGTGGGTGCAGACCTGCAAGATGCCCACTGTTTAAAAAATTGGCTGAGCCGGTCTAAAATCGGGCAGGTAGGTGGCAACCCTAGCAGTGTTTATTTCATGCAACCCTAAAAAACAAACAAAACTGTATGCCAGTTTTTAATTTTTTTTTGCCTTCACCACATTTTACTGGTTTGCGAATCTCCCGATCTTAAGATTGCCAGTTTGGAAGATACACATTTGAATTTGCAGAGTCTGTCAAAGGATTTGACAGGCTCGCAAATGCCAGTGAAGGCTTCATCATTGTTGGCCCAGTAGGGTGGTTCAAAATACTGTTTTTATTGAAGTAGCAGTGCCTCTGTTCACTGTGTGCAATGTAAGTTATGTTGAATGGTCTGTAAACATTTTTATTTTCTTCTATAAATGTAAGCTTAGCTTCTTCGTTATGCTGCTCCAAATTCAGAATTTTGTGATCAAAATTTTTTTTCTTGCAACCGGCTGCAAATTTGGATTTTTGGGCTTCAGGAATAACATTTTGCTGCTACAAATTCTTTTTCTGCTGTTGTGCCCCTGATAGTGCAAAAACGATGAACACAGAAAAGGGAGACAGATAACTGTCTCCATTTTCTGTGTTCATGGTTGCACTTTACTCTTTTCCCATTTCTTTCCTCCCAGCATGGTTGAGATACCTACCGAAAGCAAGTGATGGCATTGCAAATGGTGGCCTATTAATGATACCCCATTCTACTGTAAAAGGCGAACCTTAAGCATATTTCATGTTTTCTTATTTGCAGTGATGTGGTTGGTTGAGGCCTTTTGGAGCAGGTTATTAATGAAGCGGAAAGCACCTTTTGGAGCAGCCAAAAGTGTGTTTTAGAGATGAGAAAATGGTTTTCCGGGCCGCCAAAAGTATTAAAAAAAAGGACTTTAAAAGCTATCAAGAGCATAAATTAAAGCAGTGTTGGAGATGCTAAAGGGTCATTGCTGAGTGGAAAAACAGAATTTGTGAGAACTTAAACAGCTGAATAAAGTGTAACTACGAAGCATTCCATAACATTCCATGCATGTACAGCTCGGACTAAACAGCTGAATAAAGTGTAACTACGAAGCATTCCATAACATTCCATGCATGTACAGCTCGAACTGCTAGGAGGGTCACCACGGATAGTTCAGGACTGACTATAGAGCAGACTTTTCTTACTACCGTTTATAAAGCCATAAAACTGCATGTATACGCATACCGCTTATCGCGCACTCTCCGAGATGAAAAATCAGTTAAACTGTGGCTCAGATGAGCAAGCTTAAAACTGCGCTTCTGAACGGAGGTACGCCGTAGGGGAAAAAGAGTGATGAAGGCACTACAAAGAACTAAAGGACGCATGGGAGGGGGGGGGGAATAAAAGGAAAAAAATTAAAAGAAGGTAGCCATGTAAAGCTTGAATAACAGTGAAGCTGTTTGACCTTAGGTTCTTAACATGACCTCTAGCCTCTGTTTTTGCTTGTCAAACCACAGCTTGTCACAGACCATGCGCAAATGTCTGAACTTCAATGCCAGAATTAAGCGTGCAAATCTGGCTTGGGCCTACCGTCGCTGGTACTCTGTTCGTGCCACGGCAGGCAAATCAGGCGCAGCGACTTTGCAAATTGCCTCCATGGTGGCCGTGGATTGGCGGCGGCGGCTCCTCCTCTGCGCATGTGCGGCTGGGTGGGGGCAAACCCAGGTGGTGAGCAGCCAGCGCAGCTGTGATATGGTCCTCTATAGCTACCTTAGCGGTGATAAGTTATTTTTCTTTCTTTCTTGTTTTGCGGGCACCCAACTTTTACCCTAGCTTCACTCTTGGAAAGAATGCGTCGTGGCTGCGTAGTGGGACGACGAGTTGTCTAGGCACCTGAAAAGCCTTTGCCTTAGCCACACGCTCTGCGCCAAATGGCTGCCCGCGTTCACGCCAGAAAATATTTGCACCATCGTAGAGTGCACGTACGACCTCAATTCAACTATCAGTGAAAGTGCTCTTCTGAAAAGGCTTCGCAAATGGGCTCTTGCCTTTTCCACCAGCTGGCAGACTTGCAAGCTTTGCAGGCTTTAGTTGTGGCTATTCTCCCGACTCTGTACCCAACTTGGTTCCACACATGCTATCTTCATTTGAGCTCGTGAGTGCGATATCTATCGTTTGTGCCCAATCTCATATTTTCCCAGGCAAACTTCCCAAGGCAGCACACGATATCTATCGTTTGTGCCCAATCTCATATTTTCCCAGGCAAACTTCCCAAGGCAGCACACCATTCAAGTTGCAAGTCTGCAGGTTACACCGAATTAGTGCAAACCACGTAAGCGCGCCTCATCGGTAGCAGTCGCGGAGGTGTGGTTTGGTGCTGAGTCAATGAAATGCTTTGCAGTGGTCAAGTTTTGAAAGGTTTTGAAAGGGGTAGATTTTCTGATTTTTTGATTATGAAAGCAGCGACTTGCATTGTACGAAAACTCGTGGTGCATGTGCAACATTCAAGTTGTGGTTCACGGTTGATAATGCTTCGAACATACTGCCTGAAACAAGCAGAAATTCACTTGTCATCATGCGGGAAAATCCGGCTCATACATGAGAAGTTCTGAAAAGTTAGCCGGCAACTTTCTGCTACAGTTTCGTTTTTCTGCGTTCGTTTTGTCATCATGCGGGAAAATCCGGCTCATACATGAGAAGTTCTGAAAAGTTGGCCGGCGACTTTCTGCTACAGTTTCTTTTTTCTGCGTTCGTTTTGTCGGCACAGCAGGCCTGAAAAGCGAACTTTTCAACATTTCCAAATTTAAGGGGATGAGAATTTACATCTCTGCCACAGGACTCAATTCTTTCAATGGTGCAGCTGCCACACCGATCCAACAAATCTTGCACATAACAGTCTCTGGAGAATGGTGTTTTCTTGTGCACCTTGTATGAGTTCCTCTGGCAACTTAAGATATATAGATGGTGTATGGTGTAAATTGAAAGGTAATTCGAGCAGCACTGCACAAGCATGCACGTTTTTTTTAATCTACACATACTCACAGCTTTAGTAGCAGGGTGTGTGCACGCGAGGAAAGACGGATGCTAGAGCGTTTCTTCGTCAAGAGATTGTAGTTTAATTTTAAAATATAAGAACACCATGTTTGGCACAGCTTTGTCACAGAACAACGTAAATGTACCAGAATGTAGCGGGATGAGTATTTCGGTGCAGTTTGGCACAATTGGCGCAGCTATCACATCACTGTATTTGTCATGGGAGTGTTACCTTTATGGCATTATTTTTTTGTGTGTTTGAGGACTATGCTTCTTAATTTTCAGATTACAATTGACATTCTGGCTGAGATGGGTCACGAGGAACTGAAGCAGATAGGCGTCTCTGCCTACGGCCATCGGCACAAGTTGATGAAGGGCATTGAAAAGTTGCTCACAGGTCGAGGTGGGTGCCAGATCAGGCTGGCTTCTTCAGCTTGTTAACTAAAATCACATTGTATGTTTTTCAGCAATCTCATCAACACTTATGCCCAGCACAACTGGAACTGTTCTAGTGGACTTGTCACCTGATGATAAAGAGTACATGGCTGTAGAAGAGGAGGTAAGCAGGCAGCATTGGTTATTGTCTCATACCTGTGCTATGTTATTAGGTAAAAAATAATCCCTGTATTGAAAGGTTGCTGGGACTTGAGCATTGGTAGCGGGTGTGCAGGGTGTTTCACGTCACTTTACTGTGTGGGGACTCGCAGTGGAGAGCGCTACGCTTTTAAAGTGAATGGATGCAGTTGACACCGTCGAATGAAACCAAAACAACACATTTAACTGCCTTTGGATCGACGATATCATCAGACGAGTTATTATACATCCATTGTGATCAACACACTAAAAAAACCTTACACAATATTCCACAACACTCAACAACACAACATAAGAACACGCACAAGGCGGCGGTGCCAATGCTCGACTCGCCATGAGGGCCCATGGCAGACAACCCGTGGTGCCGTCCACCGTGGACCCGCCGCAAAAGACGACTGCTCGCTCCAGCTGCCACATGCAAAAAGAGACCCCTCACCTTTCATTTTCCGCCCCTCAGGCTTCCAGGCTTACCGCCAGGCATCACTGCCGGCACCACCGTACTAACTATGAGGATGATGGTGGTAATAAAAGCTCGCTAGCACAATGCCACCTACCGCTCAATAGTTGTGAACCCTAATTATGGCTTATGCGCGAAACACGTGCGCCACGAGGCGCAAACGACTTTACAGGGGGTGTTAGCACCCCCACAACTGAAGATCGCAGTTACAGGGCATATGACTTCGGTGTGCATTTTTTGGACTTAATCTTCAGCATCACTTATACACTAAATGGTCCGTAAACTTGTCTTACTTCTTGTGTACAATTAAATTTATTCTCAGTATCATTGAAGCTTTCAAATTAAGCGAATTTATCACCTTACATTGTGCCACAACGGTGGTGAATGACACCGAATGCCAATTCTACCACTGGGGTTTACAGAGCGAACTGCAGGGCTAGTTGGTCTTGATTCAAAACAAATTGAATTGTACAGGGCAGAATACAAGACAAAAAACAAAGCACTGTTCGTGTAAGCGTCTGAGCTCTTCGTTTTGTATTATGAGCTGTACAGTTCAATTTGTTATGAAGCTCTGTTGTATAACAGCTGCGTTGACATCTAGTCACTGCTCCCATCTGCTTTCCCGGTATTGGAATTAATGCAGCTAGAAACAGCTATGTCATCATCTCCATCTGTAAAGTGCTGTACTCCCGGTCAAGATGGCGCCCAGAAAAGCTGATAAGTCGCAGATTTACTGAGGCACGGTACGCCATTGTCAGCAGTCACGATGCACCCAAAGTCGTGACTTGGCACCCAGGGTTGCAAGTAAACAGTTGACGACGACGCTTATTTTGACATTGCTTAAAGCACCAATCGTTATTTTTATTGCTTTTTGTGGGTCAATTCATATTGAGTTCAACTCTTGAATTGGGCACCAAGTGCAAAGTACATAAATTCACCACGCCACGCAAGACAAGATTGTCCACAAACAACTAAGGAACAAGTCCCCACTGTCAGTAATGCGACGAAAGGGGCTAGTTGGTTCATGTTGGCTTGGTGATGCGCTTACATGCGGAAGAAAATATATGCTAAGAAAACATAGGTGTAATTGTCAACATATTGCCCACCCTAGGAATTCAGCTACTTACTGTAACCAATGCACATGCGTACCCCAGTTCGAAAAACAACAATTATGTAACGAGAGAGTAGTGTACGATGCTAGAGAGAGAGAGAGTAGTGTACGATGCCGCTGTCATGGCATTTCTGAGTGATGAAACATGCATCAGTGAGCCATCAATAAAACTATCTCCAGCTGAACCGGTTTTGTAATGGACGTCACATAGGCAAGTTCAAGTGTACTAATCTTTTCCCATGTGCTTTTGTGAACTTTTACTTATATCGACTACACATAAAGAAATGAAAAGCAGTTAAGTTTGCGCTTGTTCTTTTAATAGTGTGTAATGCATTCTTTGTAATCTGTCCTTTGTAACATCTCCCTACCGTAAGCGCATTGTCTAGCCCCACTGTCGAAATCTCGGTGATGGCGACGGCACTTGCAGCTTTGTAGCAGGCATCCACTGCTTTGGTGCAGGAAACAACAGAAGGCTCTGAGATCAGTGTTTGTTAGTCAAAAAGACTTCATAAGGTTGTTGATCTTAAAAGGTTATGCTCTTGGTATAAAGAAGAAAGGCACTGTGAACATTTCGAAGTCGCCGCCGAGACACTTTGTATTATAATCTCATTTTGGTGCCTTTGGAAAAACATTATGGCCTCAAATTACAACCTAAAGATTTTTCATCAAACAAGCAGGCGAGTTCACGGGCACTGCACAACCAACCCAAGGAACACAAAGCCACAACATCTAATCGCCACCCGCACGATAAAGAGGGATTGGAACTTGCCCGTTGGAACATGGCTGAGATGTAACCAATATTTGTTTGGTAAAAATGCATTTTCACAGCTTTGGTGTGGTGTGGCACAGTGTCATCTGATGTATCACTGTACGGTTGCTTGAAATACATGTGCATCAGACCCATGCTTCTCCATCACATGTTCAAGGGGGCTTCTCAACTGTTTGATTATAGCCAAGGATTAAATATACCTAATAGAGTTGTTTGATATGTCTGGGTACAACTGTACTCATTTCTGAACTCTCAGCAAAAATACCTTTTACACTAGTGTGCATGCTTTGGAACGTTATACTATGCTTTAGACAAGAAATGTTTAAACCACTTTTGTATATTTCAAATAGCCGGGACCAAATCTAGCCACTGTGCAAAAGCTGATACACTCAAAAACGCCATACCTGACTCATTTTGTGCTTATACAGTGTGCTCACTCTCGTGTTATGAGATGTTCAATATCTCGAATGACCAATGCAGTGATAATGCCACGAGCAGATTCGTCACGTTCATTCGGTTATTGAACTCGTCAACTGATGCAAGGTGACATGATTGCCTTTTGCATTTCTATTACTGTTGTTCGTATAAGTGGACATGCAGGGCTAAAAACACAATTTTGAAAGAAAATGTGCTTTCAAATTTGAGTTTGCCATATTGCTGGTTCATTAACGAACATGCTCATCAAGTGTGGTTGTCATCTGTGCCGCAAGGAATAAAATTTGTTCTTGAGAAGGTGGTGCAAATTTGCTAGGGAGAGCATCTGAAACGCCCCTTGCAAGATAGTTCAAGGTAAATTGGTCTGCAGAAATAAAACAGGGGCACAGAAAAAATCAACAAGGGTGTGCGTTTTGTTCATTTGTTCATTCTGTGTCCCTGCCTTTATTTGCACACACAAATTTACCTTGAAGTGTAAACCTGTTGAGCGCATTGGGGGAGTAACGACACGGCAGCAGTCGCTCCGGGTGGACCAGAGGCGTCATGTTTTATTGGCAGCCTTGAATATAGAACTCTGTACATGCTGTACTGCCATCTGGCAGTACTGTAGAACACTACATGAATAGACAGCCATCTACCGGTACTGCTGTACACTACATCCCCCCACGGTAGACTAGGACATACACATGCACCAAAACTCTTGGGCTGGGCTGAAAAAAAAAAAAAGAAAAAAAAAACTACGTTCACAGGTCGAGTCTTTTCGACTTGCGGATTCTTCTGCTGAATTGTCACGTGTGTGGCATAGCAGCACAACCCCGAGGTACCTTTGTAGTGGAGGTGCTTTTTTGGAGAAGTACTGCCCCGAGACTGTAGGAGCTGGCGTCAGCAGAGATTGTGGTCTCGTATTTGGTGTTGTAGCGAGCCTCGCAAAGGTCTGAGCACAGTAACGTCTTTAGTTCAGAGAAGGCAGACTGCTGCGCCAGGCCCCACGTTCAGGCAGAGTTCTTGAGCAGCAATTTTCTGATTGGCACAGCCACCTCCAAAACGTGTGACAAGAAGCCTCCTCAAGGTCTAGGAGACAACAAACTTTTGCAACATCTTGAGGTGGATTCGTGGCTTGGATCATTGAAACCTTGTCTGGGTCAGGAGCAATGCCTTCTGCACTGATCACGACGCTCAGGAACTTGACACTACAAGTGGCGAACATACACTTTGTGTGCTTGAGCATGACTCCTGCCTTTGCTAGCCAGGCCATGACTTATCTGAGATGGCGGTCATGCTTGGAGCATGTCATCTCAAAAAGGAGAATGTCGTTGATCTTGTTCAGCTTGGCCTGTCATGATCCGAGACATCGGCCACTGGAAGTATTCTGGTGAAGACGTAATCGCAATTGGCAGCCGGAGAAAACAAAAGCGCCCAAACGAGGTAATGAATTCGGTCAATTTTTGGGACTTAGGGGACAGCTTGTTCCGAGCTTGAAGTCTCATATAACTTAGAAAAAAGTGTAGGCTCTCCAAGCAAACCGAGGCGTTGTTCCATTGTACAAAGCACATGGGGCTCGCTAAGGATCAGCTTATTAAGCCGAGCCCACGCACAGTCACTCATTCAGCTCATCACTCAGTAAGTGTGTCTACTCAGTGAATCATGCCCTCCGCTTCCAGCTTGTCTAGCTCAGTCCTGATGACGTTGTGGAAAGGGAGTTGGACGCCGCCGGGGTACGCTCGAAGAGAAAGGCATTGAATTGGGTTGCTGTCGGATAGTGTAGGCTTCAGGGAGCGTCCCAAATCCTGTGAAGAGATTAGGTTCGAGACACAAGCTACCCGAGGGCTGTGAAGTGCTCCTGACTGTGCAGACACCGAGAATGTGCAGACACCGAGAATTTGGATTGCCGGGAACCCTAGCAATGGGACCATCTTGGTTGCTAGGACATAAAGAAGCTGCTTGGTTGACTTGCTGCGCCACGACGGAGTAGCGACGTAAGTGCTATGACCGGCAGGATGTTTTCACCTGGTCTTTTCAACTCGTTCTTGGCATTTCGAAGCTTCGAGAATTTCGAGGGGACTCCTGAAAACATTCTGGGTACAACCGAAACTTCGGTGCTGGAGTAAACGTTGAAGGAAAGTGGGCGCCATTTGATGAGTATCTCGAAAAACTGCCCTTTGAAGCGCTTTCTTGTAACTACGTGCAACTCAA